CCTCTCTGAACAAGGTTGGAGATTGTCTTGAGAGGGTGTATACTAAAACATTCCATTGAGTCGGTGAGTTCTATCTTCAAGAGATGGACAATAAGTTTGGGTCGGAACCGGTTATGCTCGAAGCTGAGCTTGTGCCTCAGCCGGTAAGGATCGACTGACTTGTGGGTTACAAATTCCATACTGACTCACTAAACTAGGTTGACCATGAGATTCAAGAGGATTTTAACCATGCCGTTAGGTTGGGACATGAGGTGGATCATGATGAGTGCTTTGGCAATGACGACTCGCCAAGTGGGTGGAACAGGCATGACTATGTTGATCCGGGGTAGAAGAGGTCCTCTGAACTTGAATCGGATGCTAGCTTGAGATCTGAGATGGGTCACAAGGTTCGGTAAGGCCAATGCATCGTAAGAAGGCTCTGACGTTGGATAGGTCCCTAAGACACTCGATTGAGAGGGACTCGCAATCCTCAAAATTAGTTAAGGGTGCACTATAGTGAGTAGAGGTCTGTCTTGATGAACTCCTAAGTTGAGGCAAAGATGTTGAACTTTCTAGTTTTTCCGAGTGACTAGCCTTGTTTGGGCCCTGACTCGGCTGATCCCTAACCAACTAGTTATTAGGGTTAGGAGAAAGGTTGACCTGGTTTGAGTCAACTGACCAAAGGGTTTTAGGGTTTCACATTTTTTATCTTCCTTGATCATATCAACTTAATTTTCGATAATACTCTAAGTCTCACATGCTAGCCTGCCGGATGAGTACATCATTCGGGTTGCTGTGGACTTTATTGACTTGGTGGCCCCCGGTTCCTGAATCATTGATAGGATGACTGGTAGCCTAGGGACCCAGGTAACTAGCTTTGGTTCCATGTGGGTTTTGATAGACTTTCCCTCATAGGTCTTATGGTTTGAGGGTGCACCTTAGTGATGCCCCAAAGACTGACTTGGCTCCCTAGACATAGACTGGTATAAAGGGTTGGACCGCATCTTGGTTTAGACTAAGAAAGATTGGACTTGACTTAGAATGGACCCAGACTTGAACCTAGACCTATAGCTGGAAGTCGACCTGGGTTTAGAATTTGGGCCTTCACCTAGAGTAGGCCTAGGCCAGATTCTAGACTGGGCTTGAGCCTTAAATGTGGACCTAGGTGTGGGCCTAGGCTTTAGGCTTTGTCTTAGGTTCAAACCTAGACCTAGAGGCCTAAACTGAACCAAGACTTGGACCTAACTGGCTTTGACCTGAACCAAGCTCAGACCTAGACTAGGCTATACCTAAACTTGAGTCTGACTAGACTTAGACTCGAACCTAGTTTAGTCCTACACTCGAACCTAGCTCAAGAAAGGTACACGAAAATGGTTTGAAGACAATTTTACTTGGGACTATAGGTAGGCTGGGTCAGTGGGTTTCCTAACTCAGTAAAAAATTGAAATCAGCTAGGCTTGATAGGTACCCACATAAGGTCCGGCTACAATCATTTGCGAAGGCTGGTCCTTACTATAGTGGGCGTGTTTCGTGGTCAGAGTTTACCCAGAGGGATGCTTTGCTAAATTGTTGTACATATTCCCAGTACTTCTCGCCCAAAACTGGGTTCCCGCACGACTTAAGTGTTGGTGTAGGGGTTTTCAAAAATTTGAAATTTTTTATGTATATTTAAGCATGTATGAGTAAGTATGTAAGATCAACACTCAATGATATGTGTAGTAAGTGTGAGAAAAGAGCATAGGCATACAACCTAGTCAAGTAAAGAAAGAGATAGAGATGGAAATAAAGATTTCATCTAATGAGATAAGACCAAATATTTCTAAACTAAAGCGATGAAGTATCTAAGCAGATAAGATGAAATTTAATCTAAATAAATAAGAGAAGAGAAAGACCCTCAGTTTATCTTTTATCTTCTTCTTCCTTCTTTTTTTTTTTTTTTGTTCTTAAAGAAGATAAAGATGCTTTTAAAAGAAGATAGAGTCAATAAAATTCAATTCTATATAGATAAGACTTAAAAAACAAAAGATAAGGTCATCAAGTCTAATCTAAATTGATAAGAGAAGAGAAAACCTAGATCTATCTGTTTTTTTTCTTTTTTTTTTATTATTTTTATTTTACTAAAAGAGATAAAGATGCTTTCTAAAAGAAAATAAAGTCAACAAATTCTACGCTTGTAGATAAGGTTTTAAAATAAGAGATAAAATTTTAGAAAATAAGAACAAGTCTAATCTACATGGTAAGAGAAGAGAAAACCTAGATTTATCTTTGTCTTTTTTTTTTCTTATCCTTTTATCACGGTAAAGATAAAGATCTTTTAAAAGAGATCAAATCAAAATTTTAAGGCTTGCAGATAAGATTTAAAACAAATAAAATCAAATATGAAGTGATAAAGCAAAGAAAGACTTAAATCCTATTTTTCTATTTTCCTAGAATTTACAGAAGCACAAATAGGAAAGCTGAAACCACAAAAATCACACGGGGTTGAAAATAACTGGGAGATGGGCTTCCGAATTTTTTCTTATAATCCGTACTACGTGACATGGGGCGTGTCATGTAGCATGACATGAGGAGTGTCGTGCTGATCTGCACAACACGAGGTATGTTGCGCGACATGACACACTCTGGTAGTGTCAAATAGAGAGCCCCATATAAAAATTTCGGATTTTTTTTTGGGTTTCTTCAAAATTTTGTAGCTTCAAAATGTTCTATTTTTTGAAAAATGACTACTGTAAAATTTCAAGAAGTGTTGATGGCCAAAATACAAAAAATTCAGGAAGTGTGGTGCCAACCTAGTACAATACCTATTAAGAGTTGTGAGTTACTACAAGTCGAAGGATGGACAGGGGCAATGGTAGGCCCAAAAGGATGTGGTTGGAAGTAGTCCGAAAAAATATGGTGACTTATAGCCTTACTAAGGCAATGGTCTTTAATAGAGCAGAATGGCAGACCAGGATTCGTGTGTCGACCCTAATTAATTTGAAAAAGGCTATGATGATGATGAACATCTAGGATTTTTTCGAATTCTTCTAGGGGTTTTTTTCGTATTTATATGGAATGTTTTGGAAATTTCCAAATTATCTGGGAATTTCCTAAGGTTTTTTCGAAGTATTTTTTATGTATCTTCAATCCATTTTATGGGATTTTCGAGGAGGCATTTATAGGTTTTCAATAGGGTTAGGGTTGAAAAAGTTTGATTTAATCTCCTAATTCTAATAAGATTAAGTTTAGGGATTTTTCTAGAATTTTCTAGAATATTTCGTATCAAATCGACCTTGGAAACCCGTTACTAGAAGGACTTAACGGAGCTGGGCCCATCGATTTGCACAAGGGGGGGGGGGGGGGGGACTTTAATGCTTCATTGAACTTTAAATACCATTATCTTGAGAACTATTTAAGTCCATAAAGGATTTCTTTAACTTGTACAATTTGTCTCCTTGTCTTTTAGACTCAAATCGCTTGGTTTGCCTCATAAAACTCTCCTCCTCTAATTTACTATTGAGGAATGTGTTATCTATACATCCATTTGGTGTATATCAAAGTTATCATAATTTGCTAATGGATGACTTCCTAGCAGCTGGGGAAAAAATTTCTTTGTAATCTACTCCTTCTACTTAGATAAAACCCTTAGCAACCAATCTAGTATTATATCTATCAATGGTTCCATCTGGGTTCAATTTCTTAGTGTATACCCATTTACAGGTAATGGCTCTTCCACCTTTTGATAGGTCTACTAAAATCCATTTCTCGTTTTTCATCAATGAGTTATATTCATCTTGCATTACCTACATTCAATTGGATGCCTCCGATGAACCTATAGCATCTTTAAAGTTTATGGACTCATTATCAAGTTCTATATTATACCCATAGTAATCATCCAAGTAACTAGGTCATTTTGTTTCCCTAGCACTTCTCCTAGGCTCTATCATAATAGAAGTATGATCAACACTACAAGGGTTCTCACTAAAATTACTAGGTTTTCTCTTTCTTTCTTCTATTTCTATGATTTTATGTTTCTTTTCTTTCTGCATTTTTTCATCCTCAAATAAATGAGCATCTCTACTTTCTATGATAGTCAGTCTCATGATCATAGAATCTATAAATTTTAGAATGACTAGAGTGTAAAAACAAAGTGCATTTAATTATTGTAAGTCTAGGTTTTTCTCTATTTGAATTAAGGACATGAGCTAGACAACCAAAAACTCTAATGTGATCTAAATTAGGTATTCTATTAAACTATAATTCAAAAGGGGTCATAATTTTAGATTTGCTAGGTAATTAATTTAATATATAAGTTGAGGCTCAGAAAGTTTCTTCCCAAAATTGGTGAGGTAGATTAACTTATTGTATCATACAATTAGACATCTCTAATAAGGTTCTATTCTTTCTTTCAACTATATCATTCTGTTGGGGTGTATAAGGTAGTATACATTGTCCATGTTCCTAACAAAAGTTTTTAAATTCTAGTGAAGTATATTCTCCACCCCTATCACTTTTAAACAATTTAACCTTTTCATCTAAATGATTTTCTACCTCCATCTTATACTCGTTAAATTTTTCTAAAGCTCTTTTATGATAAATCAAATTTGTATATGCATATGTTGAATAATCATCAATGAAAGTAATTAAATATTCAGGCGCTTTATAGGCTTTAGCATTTCATCTTCCACAAATATCAGTATGGATTGTGTTTAGAACACTTTCAACCCTCCTTCCTTTTAGGAATGGTTTTTTATGCATCGTTCATTTTAAACAGTTTTCACATTTAAATTTCTCATTTTCTTCATAAGGAATTAGTTTTTCTTTCATCATTCTAAATAACTTTTCATAGCCAATGTGTCCTAATCTTTTATGGTATATATTAAAGCTTTCTTGGTAAGAAGCACAAACAATATAAGAGCAAGATGCTTTCATTTCATTAATCTTAAATTTGCACAAATTGCCACAAAGAGTGGCCTTAGCCACCTCTGCACCATTCTTAACAAAATAATTCAACCCCATTATTATCTATCTTAGACAAAAAAATGAGGTTACGCTTCATTGCTGGGGGCATAGAGGAAATCATTGAAGGTAAGAGTGTCCCCACTAAGAAGAAGAAGAAGCTTTATGATCACCTCTATGTGGACCTAAGAAGAGTTTCCGATATAAAGCTTCTAATTACTAATCTTCTGTCTAAACTCCATGACGTGCTCCTTGCTTGTGGTGATATGCCTTCTTACGTTCGAGTCAATCCACCAACCATTGGATGGGTGGCCATGAAAGACTCTTCTACTATGAATGCAATATCCTATGAGTGGCTAGGTTTTCCTCTCTCTATCTTCGTTGGTGGGCCGTTACCAGATTTGGCAATATAACTAAGTTTGTTACTGTTAAAGCATCTTCTCAATTTTTTAAAGAATTTTGTTGCTTTCTTATCTTCTTTTTTTGTTTCTTCATGGTTTTCTTTATTCCCCTTTCTCTTCTTATTATTAGGTTTAATTGACAATTGTTTTTAATAGCAAAATGAGCTTGCTATTGGGTTCTATCATTTTTCTCTTTTACCCTATTATTCTCTTCCATTTTAAAATGTCATCTTAAATCGTCAAGGGTGTGGATAACTTTGTTCGGGCAAGTTTTTCTTAAGATCTTTTTAGGGAGTTTTTCTATAATCTTCATGATTTGATGGTGCTTAGATATAGGTTCTCCATAACTTGCAAGTTGGTCAGCCATTAAAATCATGTCATCAAAACATTCCAGCATCGATTGATTCTCTCTCATTTTGTGTTGGTTAAATCTTTCATATGGCTCATGGTTTGCCATGTAGTTATCCTTGGTGTGCCCTTTCTCTATGGTCTCCCATAATCTTTAGTATTATAAGTTTCAAAGACCTTGTACAATTTGTCACTAAGATAACTCAAGATAGCACCCTTACGTGTGAAATTATCATTTTTCCATTTCAAGTATCTTTGCTCTCTCTAAGTGTAGAATCATCATCAGGTTCATGTAGGATTTCTTCTTCAATTACTTATAACAAATCCATGGTGTGCAGTAAATAAGACACTTTACTCTTCTAAAGTGAGAAATTATAGTCATCAAGTTTATCAATTTTTACAAAACCAGCCAATACAACTCTAGGATTAGCCATTTTTTATACAAAATGAAAACTCCTAAGCTTTGAAACTAATTGTTAGCCCAAATATAACAGATATTTTTTGTTTTCAGAAGTAAATAGCGCTATAGTAACATGCAAATTAGGTTTTGAACGCAACCAAAAAAATAACAAATACATGGCAAGCAACCCTTTCTTGCTCTACAAAAACACTTGCAAATAGCTTGCTATAAATTCCTCTAGGAATCTGAAAAAGATATACAAAGATCACTAATTTTGTCATACATAAAAGAATCAAAATTCGAAATCGATTGCAACTATTGTAAAACTCAACCAAAAAACCTTGAGGTAATTTCCAGCAAGCATATACTCATCAAAATACAATGTAAATCACTCCAACAAACTGAAAACAATGCCCTATAAGTTACTCCTCGCTCATGGAGCCTTTCTTAAACTTCAAGTGCTATTTTGAATAGAAACTATAAATAAAATCATGGAACAAAGTCATCAAACTTGTAAAGACTTGCAGGCGAGTTTCATTACCTTTCTAGACAGAGACAACCACTGGGAGTGTGCTTCCCATGAGTATATTATAGGAGAAGAAATATATGTTTGTGACAAAACAAGAGTTAGCAAATAATCAAGAGAGAGATAGTGTTGCGAGAGGCAACAAAGTGTTGTACTCTTATTCTATGATACTGTAGGGCTCTCACATAAATGAGAGGCAATAGTGGAGGGCTCTTACAAATATGAGAGGCACATCCTTGTATGCAGCTCACAAGAAAACTTAAGAGAGACAAAAAGGCTTTAGAGAGAGAGATTGAGCTTGTGCAAGGTGCTTAAACCTCTCTAAACCCTTTCCCATGTATAGCCATTTAAAAGAAATTGAGAGAGACACTTGTAGAGAGAATGGCTAAGTGATGCCTCTCAATTGGCACTTGTCCCTCTCTTCACATGAAATTTCTTTTTTCCCTCTAAATTTATTTATTCCTTTTAAAACACCTTTTAAGTGGGGTAGAAAAGGACAAATAAACAAAATTAAAAATTGAGCCCATATTTTTGCAAATATTTTAAAGACACATTTTCTTTAACATCTCCGAGCCATCTAATCTGAGTAAAAATGCTGAGATGGCCCCAACTTCAATGTCATGCCTAAACATTGTTTTATTTTTAAATTTTCAATAAATGATATTGAAACGGTGCCAAATCCTCTCTTAAATTCACACGTATGAAAAATATATATATAAAAATATTCATGACAAAGATTTACTTCTTTTTTTCCTTTTTCTGGTAGTTAATGGCTAGGTTGAAAACGTTATATCTCCAAAATATGGGGGCTTTATAGATGGAAATTAATGGATAAAGATTCTATTGAAACCAATGATTTAAAAAATAGATCAGTGACCTGGATTGGGCATTGCAAATACCGGTTCGGGTCACTGTTTTACTATGCGAAAGAAAATAGTGAACTAGTGAAAAAAAAAACAAGTGCAAAAATAATGAACCGGCCAAAAACAGGTCCGGATTGGTGAATCAACATGTTGACTATAGCAAATGGATGTTTTTACCGTAGCAAAATGTTGTTTTACTATAACAAGTCGCCGATTATCTTTTAGACCCAGACGATTTCATATATTGACAAAATTGGCACCGGGTGACCGATTTTCAGGTCAAACCGGGTGATTCCGTGTCGACCGGGCATTTTTTAAATCATTGATAGAAACAATAATATTTGAACCTTTTTTTAGGTAAATAAAATAATAATAGAACTTGCGATAGCTATAATGAGTTATGTTCCATGCTCCCATGCTTGCCAACTTGACGAATACATGGTTTCTTTGTTAAAAAAAAGAGGACGATGAACATGTTTCCCCGATGGTATTTTTAAATTTTAAACACTCCTTAAGAGCCATAAATATCACAGTCTTATCTCATTTGGCCAGTTGCCTCTTCTAACATGGCTCTAAACCTTTTGAGGGAATAAGAACAATAACTACAATAAGAGGAGTAACACTTGACCATTCCCCTATTGAACTTTTAGGGGAAGAGATGAACCCGCAAAAGTCCCAGGAATCGAAGGTAATGTCGTAAGACTGTGAATCACATAGATCAAGTTTTACCAGAAATTTGAGAATTATGTGTTTTCTCTGTGTGCCTCTCTATAACTATGAAACCCTAGTTATAAAGGGATGGGAGGATGCCATTCTCTAATGTTCGACTTTCCTCCTAGAATCTTTGAGAATGTGACCATCTTTTCCTATGAGATGGGTAGTTATTTTCTACCTGTTAGATAAATGCATCTTCTTTATCTAAGAAGCATTTTTAGTGATAAACATTAAAATGTATTATTAAGATAAAGAGAGAGAAATATGACACATGTGAGGCCCCATGGCCACCCACATGTACCAACATCTCCCACTTGGCCATGAGGACTAGATACATTGAAATATCATAAAGTCTATACCACTTAATGAGTTTAACATTTATAAGCATATCCTTGTCATGAGGCTTTTCACGTTAGTGTGGTTATGCATCTCATGACAAAAAAAACATCCAAAATCATGTCATAGGGTTTTTCAAGCTAATGTAGCGTTTCCTCTCATGACCAACACACACACATACACACATATCCTATTTGGGAGTTCCTAACTTAGATATTCCTAAGTCCCATCAAAGGTATATGCTTTGATAATATTTATGCACTTAATCCCTTTGTTAAAGGGTCTGCAATCATATCTGAATAAGGCAAATAACTTGCAGTTATTTCATTCTTTTTAATAATATTCATAAATGTAATGATAATCAATTTAAATGTGCTTACGCTTGCAACTATATGCTCAATTTCTAATTGATGAGATGACAGCTTGGTTATCACAAAAAAATTTAACAGGTCCTTCAGCTATATCCAGCTTCAAATCATTTATGAAACGTTTAATCCAGACGGCATATGTTGAGCAATACTACAAGTAATATACTTGGCTTTCACAGTATACCGAGCTACACAACCTCGTTTCTTACTAGACCAAGAAACCTATCCACCTCCGAAGAGGAATACAAGTCTTGAGATTGATTTTCTATCATCTGAGTCTCTTGCAAAGCCTGCATCAGAGTACCCAGTAACCTCCAAATTATCAGCTTGAAAGCACAAATTGTAATTTTTAGTTTTTTGAATATATTTGAGTATCATTTTTACGGCTTGCTAATGAACCATCCCATGATTACTCTGAAATCTACTCACAAGACCGTATGCATGACTCAAATCAGGTCTTGTACACAACATGACATAATTTATACATCACACAGATTGAGCATATGGAATTAATTCAATTTCATCTTTGTCATTCTCATTACATGAAAATATTTTCTTTGATAATTTCAAGCCTTTACAAATAGGTGTATCTATGGGGTTGAAATTTTCCATCTTAAATCTATTTAAAGTAATTTTTAAATAATTTTCTTGAGATAAATATAGAAGTCTTGAACTTCTATCTCTTGTTATCTTAATGCCCAACATATATGGGGCTTCTCCCATATCTTTTATCTCAAAATGAGAACTTAGCCATGATTTGGTATGGTTAATCATGCCAATATCATTACTGGCTATCAAACTATCATGTACATACAGTGATAATACAACAAAATTGCTCTCATTATTCCAGACATATGCACAATGGTCTAACCTACTGGCTACATAACAAATTTCAGTGATTCCATTATGAAAAATAAAGTACCACTGCTTTGAAGACTGTTTTAGACCATACAAAGATTTCTTAAGTTTATATACCTTGTCTTCTTGACCTTTAATTACATATTCTTCTGATTGTTTCATGTATATATCTTCTTTTAATTCTCTATTTAAGAAAGTTGTTTTAACGTCCATTTGAAATAATTCTATATCATAATATGCTAGGGTAATCCTAATAGATGAAAATTTTGCTACTGGAGAATAAGTCTCTACATAATCTATGCCATCCCTTTGAGTAAATCCTTTAACTACCAACCGAGTTTTATATTTATCAATGAATCTATTTGCGTTAAGATTTTTCTTTAGGACCCATTTGGAATCAATGAATTTTCTATTTTTAAGGAGGTCAACCAATTCCCAAACTTAATTTCTTTTAATAGAATCAAGTTCATCATTCATGACTGGAGTCCACTCAACTGAGTCAAGTGAGAAAATAGCTTCACTGTAGTTTTGAGGTTCATCTATTGAATCATCGCTCAATGAAGAATAATCATCTTCATTCATAAATACATAAAATTCTTCTAAAGTGGTAGGTGGGGCTCTAGTTCTTTTAGGCCTATCTGGTATACTAGGTTCAATTGAATCATTCTCATCAATTGTAGAGGGAGATTGAGAAATAGGGTCTTCTCGACCCTTATCTTTATCAATTTCATGTAAGTTAATAGGCTTACTTAAAGTATGTTCTTCATCTATATTTTCTAAAAAATGAACATCACAGCTCTCTATTAATGATCTAGTATCATGGTTATAGAATCTATAGCCCTTAGAATTTTTTGGATAACCTGTAAAAGAGTATTTTATAGTTTACTTTGTAATTTATCTCTATTTTGTTGTGACATAAGTACATATACCCAAGAACCCCAAACTTTCAAGTTATTAAGGTCAGGTTTCCTACTGTTTATCGATTTAGTTGGAACACGATTAATAATATACATTGCAGTGTTGATAGCCTCACCCCAAAAATGAGATAACAAATTTGAATGACTTATCGTAGACCTCATTATGTCCATTAGAGTTCTATTTCTTCTTTCAACTACACCATTTTGTTGTGGTATATATGGCATGGAGGTTTGGTAAATTATACCTTACTCATTACAAAATTCAGTAAATAAGGTAGAGCAATATTCACCTCCTCTATCTGTTCGAAGAATTTTAATATGTCTACCTAGCTGTTTTTCTACCTTAGCTTTATATTCTTTAAATGTTTCTAATGTATTTGATTTTTTATTAATTAGGTATACATATCCAAAACATGAATAATTATCTATAAAAGTTATGAAATATTCCATATCTCTATGTGTTTTTACATTTAATGCGTCACATATATCAGAGGGAATAATTCTAAGTAGTTCACTAGACCTTGTTCCTTTAGGGAAATGCTTCTCAGTTAATTTATCAGAAATACATGGTTCGCATGTTTTGAACATAATTTCTTCTAAATTGGGGAGCAAGCATCTTTTAACCTTAGTACCATACACCAATGCTCTAGAATGTTTCCCAATGGTGACCTGACCAGACCTGAACTTTATTTTATAACCCTTGTCGTTTAATCTACAAATAGAAATTAAATTGTGCCTTATATTGGGTGCATGCAAAATATCAGTCAATAGGATATTCGTTCCACCTGGTAAATACATCTTAAAAGTACCAACACCAAGTACATCACAGTAGGTGTCATTCCCCATATAAATCTGCTGATTATCGACTGCGATCTCCTTCAGCTTCATGAATCCGTCTTTAGTCCTTGAGACATGTCGAGTGAAGGCTGAGTCGAACAACCAATTCCTCAGGTCATGGTCGACAACTATTGATTCTAGGACTACGCGGAACAAGTTTTTTCTTTTATTTTGATTACTATTATTACTTCGAGCATTGTTGTTCTAGTTCTTATTTTTGTTTTTCAGCATGGACAATTAAATTGATGTGCCCAAGTTTCTTACATTAAAAATAGGTCTTATCAACCTTATTCTTTTGATTTTTAAAATTTCTCCTATTTCCCTTATCCCTATTATTATTCTGATTATTATAAGGTTTCTTGAGAATCTAGGAAAATGAACTTTGGACAAAGTGGAGCTCATTTGACTTTTTCCTCATTCTTCTCTCAGCTTCAATACTGAGATGCATGAGAAGATTCAATGTAGTCATCCCCTGTACAGAATGGTTTTAATGCAATTACAACAGGCTGCCAAGATGGAGGGAGACTGTTAAGGACAATGGATATTTGCATATGGTCAGGGACTGGATTCTCGTCCACAGCAAGGTCTTTTGCGAGCACTATCATTTTATTGACATGCTCGGTCTCTGAGTCCGATTCTTTCATTCTGCAAGAATTATATATTTCTAATAGTAATGGCACAGAAGTGTCAGAAGTGGTCCCATACTTTTCAGATTGGGCACCCATCATACTTTGAGCTGTGGTGTGATCATCAAAGGCTCTAATTAAATCATCTTCCATAAAACTCAACATAGTAGTATTAGCTATTTTGTTATCTTTTAACCATTTGTCATGTCCCCTTCTGGCTTGACCATTAGCATTATGCTCTAAAATTGCTGGTATTATATCTATAACATAGTCCACCCTATCTTGGAAGATAACATATCTAATTTTTCTTTTCCACATAGAAAAATTGGTTCTATTGAGTTTTTCAAGTTTGGATAGTTATGACATTTTAGATAATGCCTAAACATTAAAAAAATTCAATTGTGTTTAACAACATGGTTGTTTGCTAGTCAAATAAATAGATTTGCCGACTCTCGGTGAGCTGCAACCAAAGAAGAATTTTTTCGAACAGTTTAGTTCGCATTGCTGTGATGCAACAAAAACTAATAAAGTAAGGAACAAACTGCTGGTGTCTAGGGAAGCTCTCAACATGGGTGTCAGCAAGATTGTTTTCCCTGTGTATAGGAACATAATTGCAGTCCTGTTGCTCGGCCCATTTGCCTATTTTCTTGAGAGGTGAGTCTTTCTATTGTGAAGAATTTCCTTTTTTCAGGAAACGTTTATCTTCCAGCAAACAAACGCACCCTTAGATTCATTTCTCTGTATTTGTCTTGTGAGCAGGAAAGAACGACCTCCTCTCACATTCTCGTTTCCTGTTCAGTTCTTTCTTCTTGCGTTATGCGGGTAAGCTCTCTCTCTTACACACACATTTATATGTACTTCTAATCTAAACAAGTAGTAATGACTTTGCTTCTTTATTTTAAAAGGATTACTGCAAATCAAGGATTTTATCTGGTGGGCTTGTACTATGCCTCTCCTACCTTTGCATCTGCCATACAGAATTCAGTGGCTGCAATCACATTTGCCATGGCTGCTGCTCTAAGGTCTTTGAGAAAACACTAATGTTTCTTCTACATATTGATTTTATTGGCCTTCCAAGTTTGTATGCTGAGAAATTAAGGATGGGACAGGCTGGAGCAGGTTCATATTATGAGGAGAGATGGGGTGGCAAAAGTGGCGGGAACAATTGCTTGTGTGGGTGGGGCATCCATCATCACCCTCTTCAAGGGTCCACCATTACTACACCATCATTCCCTTATTTCCTCGGAGAAGACAGAGAACTGGAAATTGGGTTGCCTTTACCTTTTTGGGAACTGCTTGGCCTGGTCTGGTTGGATAGTCCTGCAGGCCCGAACAACCACTTTCTTCTCTCTCTCTCTCTCTCTCTCTCTCAAAATCCATCAATTACTCTTACCTCAGTGACTTGGCCGACCCCAAATAGTTGGGATAATGCTCAGATGATGATGATGATTTTTTGTCATCGATTCTTCTAATTTTCTAATGCTTCACAGGCGCCTGTACTTAAGAAGTACCCGGCAAGGATATCTGTTACTTCCTTCACCTGCTTCTTTGGGGTCATCCAGTTCTTGATCATAGCCGCCTTTGTAGAAGCAGATGCTCAGCATTGGATCATCCAATCCAAGGAGGAGCTCTTCACCATCCTATATGCTGTAACTTTTATATTGCTCAAGCTCTGGTTTTGTTGTTTTGGCTCAACTTTCTTCTGTAAGTTTTTAATCAATGAGTACTTCATCTCCCATGAATCGCGCGTTGTAATAAGAAAATGTTGAATCCAGGGCTTTGTGGCATCTGGAATTGCTTTCTCTGTTCAGATATGGTGCATTGATAGAGGAGGCCCCATGTTTGTTGCTGTTTATCAGCCTGTGCAAACCATTGCTGTTGCCATTATGGCTTCCATGAGTCTTGGTGACCAGTTATACACAGGAGGGTATGTGTTATGTGCATTAGTCAAGACTTTAAAATTACTCTCATATTATAAACTAATTTCTTTTGAAGAAATGTTGATGATGCTTCCTTCTAAGTTTAAAATGGCTCTTGCATCACAAACCAATATGCACTTTGGCTCTCATGCATTCATAAATGGAAAGTTTATGTCGAGCTAAGGCTCTAAACAATCAAATTAGAGCCCACCTCAAAAAGTTTTCTAGAAGAGGTTGATTTGATGCCCAAATATCCCCAAATTGAGCATCTCAATATCAAGATGTATGGACATAAGAAAAAAAATGGATTTCAAGTTTTGAAAATAGTGGATCTTGGAATGCATTTTTGGACCGTCAAGTTTCAAAATTTTCAAGTTTACATAGATCTGCTCGATCTACATTATTTTTGAAGCTTTAAATTATATAATTAAAGATAAAATATATTTTATGGTATCACAAACATTTTCATTATTGAAAACACATTTCTCGATACTATTTGAAGATGCACTTACTTTGATAAGAGCCTCGGTTCTACACAAACCACACCCTTCATAAATTGCGGGATATATTAATTTTCTCTCATGTATATTGATGCTCGACTTTCAAACTATTCATTTTCCACAAACTGCTAACCCAACTCTGTCTCTTTCTCTCTCAATTTCAGCATTGTTGGAGCTATTTTGATAGTGGTGGGTCTTTACTCGGTGCTACGGGGTAAGAGTAAGGAAAACAATTTGAAGGGTGAAGGAAAAGGAGATAAGTTGAGACAACGTTTGGTCTCTAATGACAAGTCACAGGCAGAAGGTGCAGTTATTGCTGTTTCATCAGACATGCCTTGAATGAGAGAGATGGAGAGATCCTCCATTACTGCCCTGAAACCACCCATATATGGTTCATTTGCAGATACCCAACCTGAGACATTTACCTCATACTTTTTGCTTGTTGGTTTGAGCTGGAAACCGTGGTGGAAAAGCCACTCCCGATGCTTTCTCTCTTAGTGTAGTTTACTATCATTATATTTCCAGTTCTGAGATTGGATCAGATACCCTATAACGTGTACTGATTCTGAGCAAATGGCTCCTGACAATGTCAACATGAATGCCTAGTTACTTACATGACGCCTACATGTGAAATGAAACCGCTCTTTAAAAAATTATGAAAGGGTTGGTGTTCATGTGATCTTAATTTTCTACCCTCTCTTCTTGGCAATTATCACAAAAAGAAACAATTTGAAACTGCACTATAGAAGAGATCCGGATTAATCTTAATCCGCCTATCGCCTATTTGATGAAATTTTATATCTAGGTCTTCAATGACCGGAGATCAATTTTTTTGCTTTTTGAAATTATTCATCTAATGATGATAGTGTCATATGTGAGATTTGGAAAGATCCATATGGTTGAGATTAAATTCTACCATGGACCCCTATGGCTTAGATCCAGCACATCTATAAACCCTTAAAATCCCGAAAATAGATAGTCTTGTGATAATAGAGGCACCATTTCTAGAACATGCAATGCATCTTCTGTTATCCTTAGTTTTTGAGGTTGAGATGATCAAGTGGAGGGCTTTTCAGTGTTAAAATGACTAATTCCGATAAGTTTTAGGAGTACACTTATTTTATTATAATAAAGTTGATGCCATATATATAAGGAAAGCTTTCTTTGTGACCCCAACTATATATAAGTTATATTTGACTCCACTTCTTAACTGTTTGATCTGAGTTGGCGGCTAAGATTGATCCAATCACAATGTCAAGCCAAAACACTGTTTGATTTTTTTTATTTTTTTATCAGACCTTTTTGGCTGAAATTTAGGGCATCCCATCTTCTTTCTAGGGCACACATAGCATAAAAAAAAAAAAAATTCTCATGAAAATAAATAACCAAAATTCGCCTAAACATTTTAGGGATAGTTTGATAATTTTTCATCGCATAAATTATTTTTTATTGTTTTTACCATGTGCGCCCATTTCAGATGTATGTATGCCTTGAAATTTGCTGCAAAATCGTTGAACTAATTAAAATAAAATGCTTTGAGCCGTCGGATCGAGATTTACCTCTCTAGGCTTGTGACATTGTGACTCAAGCTATCTTAGTCATCTACTGAAATCTGATGGCTAAGATCAGGAGTCACATATACTATATATATATAGGTGGAGTCACATGAAAAGCCTTCCCTTACAAAGGTG